AGTTTTTCTTCAGTCTTTTAAGAAAGAAGTTTTAATTACAAGTTTAAGATTTGCAAGAATTGTTTTTTGAATATACAGGAAAAGGGTGAAAATTTTAGAATTTTATAAATGATTAAGGGCTCACATGGACTTAAGTTAGAACTTTGAAATTAATTATATAGAATCCTTCCTGTGGGAAACTTTCTGTATTTACATCTGGAACTGATAAGATGACTTTGAAGGTTGGCCACTGGAGGGCATCAGAAGGAAATAAATATATCAATGGATAGATACAGTACATAAAGAGAAATGGGATGATGGGTTTGGAAGCCACTTTTTATGTTGTCCAACTGATCAGATGGGGAAAGCGCAGGCTAAGGTATGAAGTTCACTTTTAGAATGTGCAGAACTGAATCTTATGGGAATGGAATATGCAGTGAACTAAAATATTCTGACCCTGTGAATATCACAACCCAGCTATTTCAGGACTAATCCAGTGATTTTCCAGAACAGAAACAGTCCATTATGTTCTGCACATAGTCCAATCTTTTCATCCAAAACACCACATGCAGTGAATTATTCAGTTTTTAATTTGGAATATTAACTGTAAATTGATTTACCAATCCTGGAATGACTACAGCAGATGTGTATGCCTGGAGGAAGAATATTTTGCACATTCCTGTTTCTTCATATTTCAAGATCAGTAGCAGTGAAGACTTGAAAATAGCCTATTTTTGAAGTTTGGGAAATGAAAATGATGGTCTGTAGAACAGCTTCTGTATATATGTGTTTTTTCTACTATATTTCTTTCTCAGTTTCTCAAGGATATTTACTGGTACCTCACTAGCCTCTGTGACAGCAGTCCTTTGCTAATTATTCTGACCTTTGCATAAACAGGATCCAACTCATTTCCTATGTAAACGGAGATTATAAATTATGTTCTGAAGGTGTTAAAATATTTTTCTCATCTGTTCTCTCCCCTTTTTGTCTGTGAAAGTTTGCAAAGAGAAAGAGCAAGTAGTATTTTTGCAAGGTTTGAAGCAAACAGATGTTGAGGCTTAAATAACAGCTAATCAAATCAGTTACTCATCCATACTTTCTTTTTTTTTTTTGTCTTCCTGTCTTGGCTTTCCAATAATTTTTTAATTATAGTTTGTCTTTGACTTATGACCACAATTGAGCCCAACATTTCTGTTGCTAAGCAAGAGAGTTGTTAAGTGAGCTTTTTCCTATTTCATGACCTTTCTTGCCACAGTTGTTAAGTGAATCACTGCAATTGTTAAGATGGCAATATGATTGTTAAGTGAATCTGGCTTCTCCAATGACTTTACTTGTCAGTTCTCACCTGACCCTGGGACACTGCAGCCATCATAAATCCATGCCTGTTGCTAAGTGTCCCAAATTTTGATTACGTGGCCATGGGGATTGTGCAATGGTTCTAAGTGTGAAAAACGGTCATAAGTCACTTTTTACTGTAACTTACAGCAACTACTAAATGATGATTATAAATTGAGAACTGCGTGTAGCTGCTTTTGGGGACCTTAGATGTTGGCTCAGTATTTTGTGTAAAATCAGGTTTAACGGTTGTTAGTGTTGTGGTGTCAAGACTGATTTACAGTTTCACCCATATTCCGCTTCACTTGCAGCTTGACAAAGAAAAGGGAGGAGGTGGGATGGAATGCAAGGGTGGGGGGAATTGCATTTGAGCATCCTTGGTTCCTTGAGGCAATGCTCCAACCCAAGGACACATTGAGCAGATGGACTAGCCTGGCTCACTGATTCCCATAACAAAATGAACAGAAATGATTGGTGGATGTAATGGACTGTGGGTGATCCATAGGGAAAGGAGGGGATTAACTGTGCTAGCTTTTGTGTGGGAAAACCAGAGCTGGTTTTGCTTCGTCTGTGTCAATATGGTTTATTCAGTAAAGTTTATATGCCTGGTAAAATAATGCCCCAGGAGTTTCTTTTTCTGGATTCATCAACTGGACCATTGACATGTGGTTGAAATGTCAAACTAATCTACAGGAAAAAAAATGCAGTAAACTTGGCTATTGATATACCTTGTTCTACTCTTTGGATATCAAATATTGCCAAATATTTTAAGCAGAGATATTTAAAATAATGTATTAAAATTAATCTATCACAGTATATGTTGCTATTGTTTTGTTCTCATGCTGAGTTTGTACCTTAGACAACGACACTGTATGATAAAAGAGAGATAAACAATATTTTCTGGTATTGCAGATCAGCAATAGTTGAATGGGATCAAAATTATGCAAGTTGGTCCATCATACTAAGGCTACAGACATTAGGAGTAACCTAGCTACAGAGGATCTAACAAAAGGAGGGGATAAATAATGTAGTAGAAACCATAGCCAAATTAATTTAGCTAGGCAGCTTGACCCTCCCAATATTTTTTTTTGCCTTTCCATAAACAGTAAAGCAGTTATAAATGGACAACATATTGTCCATCCTTTTTATTCTCTTGTCAGGGAATTCTGATGCAGAAATACATTGCAGCTTTCAATGGAGGTTCAGTCAAAAGGTCTTGGGATAGTGCTGTCAGGTACTTTGGTTTCTGAGATTTTGTCCTTACATCATCTGGTGACTGTGAGAAATATGCCATTTCAAGTTGGTGCTAGCCTGAATAATCATGCTTCCTCCTATGAGAAACCTCTTGTCATTCTCTCTGTAAAGAAATCCTCTATGTGTTATTGGCCATTTTGGCTGAAAATGACACTAAACCTAAACTAGGTCTCTTGGACCACTATGAGGACTAGAATGAAGTTTCAGAAGTGCAAAATAACTGATTGAAAGTCCAGACACAGTGTGTACAGTAGACATTGAACTGAGAATTGGGAACATGGTAGATAACAAGATGGTACAGCTCAGTTCAATTAACACTTAGTTTCTAAAAGGTGCTTGGAACACATGGGAGTTCAAATAAGGCTCTTATCTGCAATACTTTAAAGTTGCTATGTCCTTTCCTGGGATGAAGTTGTTGCACAGTTATGGGGAAAAGGTAGAGTTGCTTTAAGATGCTGAAGTCAGATGCTAAGTTTGAGTTTCCACATGCACTGAAACACCTTTTGAAGACTTGGATTTCAAGTAGTACAGAACCCTATTGGATATGGGAAGAGGAGGCTCAGAGAAAAGGGTAGTGAAACAAAGAAACTGAAACAAAAAAGACCATGAAAATGGGGAGTGAAATGGACATTGCGTTGCTTAATCTAGAATTCACATTAGCTCCACACAGAAATGTTTTCTATAAAAGGAGCATCATGCACAGATGTGGGTATACGAGATCAATTAGCATTTAATTAAATGTAATAAAACAACTATAAATTAAATGTGGGTTTCTGTAGAGGAAAGCCCTCCACGAGAGATGGAGATTACATGAATTTCTAGTTCCCATCTGGAAAATGTACATATCTTGAAACCTGCATTTGTAACCTTTATTTTGTAGAGATCCATGCACAAGGTCCATATATAGGAGAGTAGTCAGAAAGCCATACAATTTCCATGATAGAATCTTGCTTTCCCTTTCTGCACTCATAATTACAGCACTTTTGATACCTGTTAATACAGATGCTCACAAAGATGATTTTTGTTAATTTTGGCTTCTGTTAATAATTCAGCATTGAATTATTAACAGGGACAAAAAAAAGTAAAGGTTGAATTTGAATAGCAACATAAATTAACTAAAAGAGAGAAGCAACCTGGAATTAAGGAGAAAGTTCCTAACAGTGAGGACAAATAACCAGTGGAATAGCTTGCCTTCAGAAGCGTGGGCGTTCCATCACTGGAGGTTTTTAAGAAGAGACTGGACAGTCGCTTGTCTGAGATGGTATAGGTTCTCCTGCTTGGGCGGGGGGCTGGACTAGAAGACCTCCAAGGTCTCTTCCAGCTCTATTCTATTCTATTCTATTCTATTCTATTCTATTCTATTCTATTCTATTCTATTCTATTCTATTCTATTCTATTCTATTCTATTCTATTCTATTCTGTTCTGTTCTGTTCTGTTCTGTTCTGTTCCGTCTAATCAAATAGTTCTTTGCCTATATACTCCTAGTCAGTTACTGTATGTCAGAGTTCTTAAATTGGAGGTTGTGAGACCTTGGGAATCATAAATAACTTAAAGTTACAAAATTATTTTAAAGTTGAGCAGGTTTTAACATCAAATAATATAATTTAGTATATCTTAAGTTACTTAACAATGTCCATTTGGTATAAGCTGTCTAGGAGATTGTAATGTGGAGGGCATCAAGTTGGAGAAGATAGATATTCTTGAGATTGGGATTGGTATCTCTGATTTATTTATTTATTTATTTATTATTATTATTATTATTTTATTCTTTTGTAATTTTATGATGTGTTTTTGTGTTTCTACTTGTGTTATATATTTATACTATCGTATACATAAATTAAAGTAAGCTTATACAGTTGGAACAATTAATCAGTGGAACAACCTGTCTCCAGAAGCTGTGAATACTCCAACACTGGAAATCTTTAAGAAGAGATTGGACAGCCATTTGTCTGAAATGGTATAGGGCTTCCTGCCTGAGCAGGGGGTTGGACTAGATGACCTTCCAACTTTATTACTATTGTTATTGTTATTATACAGTAGAGTATACACATATACAGATATAAACAAAATGTGTAAGCTTCAAAGAAAAGCCCAAATAGTTACTGCACTGTGTAGATTCTTTCATCCAAGCCATTTGACATAGGAGTATTTAAGCACACATCATAAAAGATGCAAGAGGATTTTCTTTCCACTAATAAATAAATGAAGAGTTTGTTCATACATCCATGTTCTTCTAGCTTCATAATTTGGTTCCATGTTTTTATCCTCACTAAAATTACAATTATATACAGGGATAAAACACACAGATGAAACCACATGAAAGTGTTATTTTGGGCCATGGAAAAATTGTCCCATGCCTTTCTTTAAACTATCCATGTTTGGCACTTCTGTTTAAAGACTTCTCTAATCATACTATTTTCTCTGATCACAGGGAGCGTGTGTGTGGCACAATCAGTCAAGATTCCCCGAGAACCCAAAGAAGGAGAATTTGATAAGATCATTCGACGCCTTTTGGAAACATCCCATGCTCGAGCTGTCATCATATTTGCCAATGAAGATGATATCAAGTAAGAATTTAGGGATTAATGATTTAGGAACTGTGATGGAAAGTAGAGAGACAAAGAAGGAAAATGAATGGGAGAATAGGGCACGCAGAGGGGGAGAAAGCTAAGTTTGAATCTTGTTAATGAATAAAGTGGAATATTGTCAGCATTTCTGAGGTAGGCTAGGTCAAAGAACAGACGATGAAAGGACTAGTTGTACTCTGTTGATATAGGATATAATAACAGAATTTTCAAAGCCTGTGAGAGAATTTCTCTCTGCACTCTCTCTTATACTGAATAGAATCAAGGTGGGTTACCTTGAGTTTCTTTTTTAGCCCTCTTCTTTCCCAGAACTAAGCCTCTTTTTCAAAAACACTTTTGTTTTTGTGATTGTGTGAGGAAATTTTGAAGTCAGATTCCGTGGAATTTTTCTTTAGTAATTAAAAAGGATACTCAACATTCTCTGGTAGTCACTAGAAAGCAAAATATGGCTTTTTTCCAATGGAGTAAATGGAGCTATAACACAAAGTGAAAAACCGAAAACACACAATCCTCTGGTTTATTTCTTTAGATCTTGCAGTTCTGAGTTGCACCTGATGTTGCAAGTATCTAATCTATTAATCAATGTACATTGACAAATATAAATAAATTGACATTTTCTATCAGTTTACATCAAATAGCATAGGTTTTTTGTGAAGCTTTTAAAAAAATACTGTATGTTATTTCCTTCCACCAAAATCAGGGGATTTCCTTTGCAGGCAACATAAATGACGAATATCTTTAAACACAGGTTTATAAACATTTGCCTATTTGAAAATAAGCAGTAAACTGGATGATTGCTCTCTGGTGGCAATAGTTTACATGCATCTGGAAAATTCCTATTTTTCAGGCAATGGAAAGTTCACATGTACTACTGAGCCAGATGATTTCTCAGGATTGATTCACATGATTCATGCAAACATTTTGAGATAAGAAAGCTGTATGCATGCATGTATTTCTGGATACAACAAATAAGAGCTGTTGTGATTCTCAAACCTGCATATATACTGTATTTTTTTTCAATCTTCTCAAATGGACTTATATACCTATTTTCTAGATTGCTTACTTTCTTATAATTCTAAACATTGTAGTTGCATATTTACCATGATAAGATGAAAGTTCACCCCAAACTGGTGGTGTCCCAATGTCATGGTGATAATGGGAGTATTAGAACAACTATGAAACAGTCTGAGAAAGCTTGGAAAGGAATGGAGAGGAGATTTTTAGTATATTATATATTTCCCACCAAAGTAGCATTAAAGATATTTTACCGAAATAGTATTGAGAACTGTATAGATCTCAGATCCTTGATTCCACCTAGTTTCATTGGGTTGACATCAGTCTCATTAATTGTAAAAGAAATTTCTCCTCTCATTTATAGCAAGTTAATTATGGCAAATCATTCAAAAAGATTTGCTACCTTGCTTGAGTCACCTTTTCTGAAACAGGCTACAAATAACCCATCTTCTATTTCTGGTGTTTTATATCTATTTTGCCTTGCAATCTTTTCCAAGCTCACCCACAATCTCCCATCACAATATGGAAAATGCTCCTTTTATTTAAGAATGAGTAGTTTGAGAGGGATGGGATTTATTATACGGATGGCATGCATATTTAATTTATAATAAAAAAGTAGATCAGGTTTTTAAATCTCATATTTTAAGAAACGCTTTATTACGTATCTGGAAGAAGCATTATTATAGGTTAAGTTATAAAATTCCAATTTGGGGGATTCCCGGACACGTGATAGAGGGGGTATCTAGAGGAGTGAATTTGGATAGGATTTCTTTTAAGGAATTACTTAGTTTGGTAGGGAAGGATTGTCAATTAAAATCTTTAGCTGAGTTGAAGCAAGGAAATATTGTACACTCTTGGTTTCAATATAATCAATTGTTAGTTAGGTGGAGTTTAGATCAAAAGGTTGGTATTACTTTAGAGGATGCGAATTTGGTAAAACAGATTAAACATCAAACTCGAGGCCATATAAAGAGAATTTATAATGTTTTAATAGAATTGGATTCTGAAACGGAGTTAGTTAAAGATTGTATGGTAAAATGGGCACAAAATTTTCAAGAGCCAATTCTATTGGACACATGGGAGACAATTTGGGTTAGAAATGTAAAATTTAGTCAAGCTCAAAATTTGAGAGAAAATTTTTATAAAATGTTTTATAGGTGGCATTTGGATCCCCAAAAGTTGTCCTGTATGTATCCTAACTTGCAGCCCAAATGTTGGAGAGGTGGTAGTTTGGATGCAACTTACTTTCATATTTGGTGGACTTGTAGATATATAAAAGCTTTTTGGATTAAAATTTGATGGAACATTCAAAATATTTTTAAAAGAAAGATAAAGTTTACTCTTCAACTATTTTTGTTGGGTATACTTGTAGATTTTGATGTTAAGGAAACTAATTTGATGTTGAATTTAATAACAGCAGCAAGGCTGTTGGTAGGGCAATATTGGAAGAAGGATTGTTTGCCAACTATAGAAGAATGGATGCTTAAAGTGTCAAATTTAGCAGAAATGGCTAAGATTTCTGCTTATTTGAAGGATCGTTCACAAGAAAGATACATTTCAGTTTGGAGAAGATGGATAGATTATATTCAGAATAAATATGAGACTAAAAAGTTCCATTTATTTTATGAATAAATTTTAGAATATTATTATTGTTATTATTATTATTAATAGTTTAGTATAGTGGAATTTTTATTATATTGCATTGTTTATGAATTAGGATTTTAATTTGTTTATATGATTAAGTTTATTTGCAAATTGTTTATTCTATGTTAAAAGGGAGTTAAAGCGCATTATATTTGTTTATCTACATAGCTGGTTAATGTTAGTTAGATTATGATTATTATATTTTTTACCCTGTATTCAGCTCTGGGAAGTGGGGGAGGGGGGGAGGGGGGGAGGGGGGAAGGGTGGGTGGGTTTGGGGTATATTTTGTAATTTTTGTAAAACTTTTTAATAAAAAAAAAGAGTGAGTAGTTCGCATCTATTGCTTAGCACAAGAGAACTTAGGAGATGAACCAACTGCCATGTCTCCATAAAACCTAAGTGCTTGTCTGTGTGACTTTGTGTCTGCTCAAGATGCAATAGTAAATTATATGTAAAGTGAGGGAAGATCATGTATTATGTGGGTATAAGAAAATAATGGAGAAGGTGCAAGTTGGATCTGTGCCTTAATCCAGAGTTGCATTGCTGCAAATATAATTAGGCTGCCATTTTGTCAGATGGGGATGAGTTAGAGCTCTTCTTGCAAGAAATTTATAGCTCTTCCTCAATATGACGCTTTCTCAGTAGGTTGGGATTGCATCTCCCAGAATTTTTATATATATATAGTCATTTTCCCTGTTGCTTTTATTTGCCCAGATTTTTTTTTATTTAAAACATCACAGGCTCAATGTAAAGCAATACAGAGCTGTGTTAATTCATGAAATAAAAATAAATCTAAAATCCATAGCTAGGCAGTAACTTTATTTCTTTGTTTATTTAGGTACCTTGCATGAATGACTGTTAGTAGCTTACAACCAATGCCCTGCAAATGGGAATGATTTTAACCTGCTTCCTAAAGCATTAAAAAAGTAGAAGCTAGCCTCATTTCAGGAGATGAAGTGTTATCAGATGAGGGAGCTACCGTTGAGAATATTATTCTCCAGGTTTTCCCTTCCAGGCCTTTAGGGATAAATGTCTTGTCATGGTTAGATTGTATGTTGGCAAATTCTACCCAGAGAAGATGCCCCCAAATATAACAAGGGCCCAAGCTGTGTATAGCTTTACTGTATAGGGTTGTAATCAGCATCTTGAACTGAGCCCAGGAAACTATTGGCAACTGGTACTGCTTTTAAAAGGATGTGTTATTCTGACAAACTCTGAGTAGGCCTGGCCATCAGGCAAATAGTTATATTCTGTGCCAGTAGTTATTGCAGTAGTTATTAAGATCAACCCAAAATGAGAAGCGTTTCCATTTCCAATTAGCAAGTCATTGCTTGTAATTTTATTCTTCTCACATTCTAGTATTCCCTCAACCATGAAGTTAAATGGATAGCCTTGGACCAATCTCTTATTCCCATCCCCACAATTTTGGTCACATGAGTATAGGAGCATATGTATCACTCTGAGCTGCTGAAGATGAAATGCAATCCAATATAATAAATGCCTGATTCCAATGATAATTCAGCAAGTATTGCCTATTTACTGTGGCTGAATCTCTAATCACTTGTCATCAGGTAATACCATCCAGGAATCACTCGTAAGAAAGGGAACATTTGGAGTATCATTGATGCCATACGTTCAGGTTGTTCAGTTCTACAGTATAACACTTTTTGTTGCACAATTCAGTGTACCCCAGTTTAACAGTGCCAAGAACAATATTTCATTTTGGCAGCTGTTGAGGCCTGTTCTTAGGATCAGTTGAACTTCTGTGAAATCCGATTATCAAAACTAACCGATGGATTAAAATAAGGTAGTAATGAAATTTCCCTACATTTCAGGAGGTTGAGATATCATTCTGTGTATCAAGATGTATGTAAATATTCATAGTTAATGCTGCTCAATGTCAGCCCCTCTAGGTAGGTCAGAAAATCAACTCCATAGGAGGGCTAAAACGGCTTTTATTGAAACTGGCTATAATAATAGAATCCTTGCAAGTCTGATTGTGCAGTATTTGCTCCCCCTACTTATACTCCAGTGAATCAGGGAGCATCTGCCTGAGTCACTTCCAAATATTGTCTTGCTACTCAGGACTTTAAAGGTGTTTAAGCTCCTTTTGCCTGGGTAACAGTTCTTGAATATTTCCATCATTTTTCTTACCCTCTACATCAATGACCATAATAAGGTTACTAATATCCATATTTCGAGAAAATGTATTTTAGCCTGCATATTTTGAAAGCAAATACATTGCAATTTTTTAAAATATGCATTTGCATATGGGTGAAAGTACCTACTTATTAAATGTGAATACATTTGAAGCGTTTTGGCAT